CATAATTATAGACGTAATGTTTAGCTGAATTTTCGAAAATTTTCAGAATGACATTAAATGTTTCGAATCGTTGCTCGTATGGTGAGGTAAGTATCAAGATATGTATCATTGATATTGTTTCATAATATATTGTGGGACACCTTGTACACCTCCGCATTTTCAGAATAACAAGATATGGGTTTACAAGACGTTTAGTTTGCTGATGATTTGGTATTGATTATCGCTTCTTACCCATCAATCATGGTTGACGTCATCTCTAAATGTAATAGGAAAAAATAAAGCATTCTTCAGTTTTAGGAATTGATATATATCTTAGCAAGAGAGAACATGGAGCATCATTTTAAAATGCAACTCATGAATCAATCAATCTAATTGAAATTTAAAATAATCGATCACTGGAAAACTATTATGCTGTTGTAGATGTCATATAGAAATGTGAAGTAGACTTGGATTCTGAACTGAAATTACTCTGATAATCTGTCTTTCCTCGAGGAACTTAGTTATTCATACTTCAAAATATATGATTATAAACCAAGAAGTGGGAGAAAAATATACCTTTGAGTTAACAACACTTTTTCATTTCCTAGTCATCATTATGAAGAACTTTAAGTTTCCCTAATGAAAGAGAATTAAAACTCTTATTAAAGATGCATACTAAAACCTGTCTAATTTGACCTTATCCATTTAATATTTTCCCAATCATATTTTGTACTCAATATATTTATTCTCATGAAAATGAATTAAAGCTCTTCTGGGGACTGCCTTTAAATTAGATAGTACATGTACATGTCTCTTTAATCTATATATTTAACAGATTACAGTCAGTAATTCCAGGCTGAATATAATATTTGTACTTTTACATTGCATCTTTATTAGATATTTTCCAAGAAATGCAGAAAACAGGTGGTTAGTTAAGCCTCCTACCTCTATTTCAAATAACGAGTGGTGTTAGTTAAGTGATTAACTAGGTTTATATGTTAGCCCCGATATTATGGCTAAAGTTTGATATGTCAGAAGTTATTTTGTAAGTTTAGATAAGCTATGTTTGGTAATGAAATGCTTATCAATTTGACACAAATGATATTGATAAATGCATTAAAAGGACATGTACTTTACACTGTACACATACTTTAAATACTTGTAGTCTTCACATCATCACATTCAGCTTTACAAGGGTTCTAACTCGTATATCCTCCATTGGACAAAAACGGTACAATCATGTCCTTCTGCAGCACCTTGCTAGGTTATGTGGAAATTTGAATCTTTCAGCTTTTTGTATATTTTAATCAAAATATGTAAGATGACAATTTATAGGGGAAACACGGCTAGTATCCCAGGTCACAGCACTTCTTGTGATTTGTCTTTGACCTATGACTGCTGACCTATACCGGCGATTACTAGAGTGCTGCTAACTCGATAAAAGGCTGGCGCTGGCAAGAATTGTCTATGGTTCTAGCCAGGATAAAGATACCAGTTCTTCAACTCGACAATGGGAAGAACTGCTCTACCTAAGTGACTAATATGTCATGATATGACATCTAAAAGAGTCGATAAAAGATATATATATGAGTGGAATATACCAGATGCATGCAGAAATAATCTTGATTTACTTTATTAAAAATTCAAAATTCAGTCAAAATGATGTCATATTTAGAATCTTCATGTAACAATATCGAGAAATGTGGTTTTGAAGAGTTTATCAACTTAGAAATTTCAATTTTCAAAATGAAAATGTGACTTCTAGTTGGGGGAGATTTCCCATAAACCCCATGTTGTAAAATCAGAATTTACATTACATGTATTTCTACCTGTCTGAAATATCAGGACTGGTTCACCTGCCCTAATTACATGTATTTCTCTGTTATGAACAATAGAGCCATTTCATAAAGGCTTGATTACTTGGCTTGTGAATCAATTACATATCTCTACTACAGTTATCATGCAATATTTCATGTCTGAAGATTAGTTCTTATATTCTTACATCAATAAAGCACCTGATAGTATGTATTGAATGCAATCTCCTTGCCCATTTTATTTTTGATCAAAAATGTTTGAGCCCTCTCCCTCTTAGATATGTTATATTTATGCTCGAAGGAAATGATAGTACATTAACAGTGTTTCCTCCTAATGGTAAAGGAAGTTTTCCGATTTATGGTATGGAACTAGCAAGAGGAATAAGTTATCAATCATTCATCAATCAATTGTGATATATCATTTGATGATTCTCCTGAGTTCTAACATGAATGAATATATCAATTTCATATTTCATTACAGATTTACATAATAGTTGTATCAGTTGTCTCCCCAGCATTTAAGCAGATTTTGAAAATAGGCTTGCACCTACCTGAAAATCCATTTGCACCTACTTGAATATGAGAAGAAGCATGAAAAATAGGCATATTTTGACCAATTTTGGTCTGAATTGTGAAACTTAGAATTTAGCACCCACTTGAGAAAAAATCCTGTGGAGATCACTATGTTTTACCATGTCCAGGAGATTAGAAATATATTGTTCATTAATGTATATCATCCGATGTGTTTTTGATTGCTACTATATCCTTGGGAAGAAAGAGTAAACTTAATTGCTCTTATAACTAATGTTTAGCATAACCATGAACTTATATGATGTCAAATAGTGCTAGTAGAAATAATCTTGATTGACGTCATTATGTCAAGTTGTCAGGTTCAATAAAACTAATAAATGAACTTAAGTGTCTGATTTGATTAAACAGATTACTATATTGTATTTATAATTACAAATAGTTAATTACAAAAATAGACAAAGTATACTAATACTACACAAAACTGGACGGCTGATGCTGCAAAACGTGCACACTGGATACGTGGAAGGTTACTGGGCTTATGATGTACGTAGACGGACGTTATGGTAGATGATACAATACACGTGAACTATCGAGAGTCTAATATCACGTTCACCACGTGAAGATACTGGCTGGACGTGTTGGTAGACTTCTTACTCGAGTCGGTTTATACTCACATCGACGTTACTGGATAAGAGTCTATGGATGTGATAATAGTCACTTGGTTTTATGCTGTACGTAGACAGACGTTATAGTAGATAATGCATTGCACGTGAATTAGCGAGAGTCTAATATCACCACCACGTGAGGATACAGGCTGGACGTGTTGTAGACATCTTACACTAGTCCAATATTACACTGATACAACTCAGACACAGTTTATAGACGCACGAGACGATACAAGGAGACAGTCTGTGCACATACGCAGATACATTTCTCGTTGACAGCTACATACTACACCAAAACTATAAAAAATGGATAATAAACCTATCTAAGACACACGTTTCTAGAATATATGAAATATAATATTTTCAACTAGTTCCCTAAACTGGTACAGATAACCAATGGATGCTAAGAATAATATGCCATATAAGTGAACACCGAATACAAGAAAATTATAATTATCTTGAACAATATAACTTATCCTTGTACAATGTAACTTATCCTTGTACAATATAACCTATCCTTGTACAATTTAGCAATTACAATAAATAAACGCAAAGGAAATATTGTAATGAATATATACTAAATAAATACCTCAGTATGTTTCACTAATGTTGACCACATATTGTACAAAGTCACGCCACGTGTTATGACAAGGTAGATGACATCGACACTACACGTACATGTTGACACTAGACTTCACAGGAAAACGCACAACAGATAAACGTGGTTCACAAATGCAAAGGTATTTATATGAGTGGACAGTGAGTGAAATAGTGAATGAAATACTAAGGAAATGGAATGATGCCAATTGATTTCTATACTTATGAATACTACCTGTAGAGCTAAGAGTATATTGAATGATAAAACTCGCGTTTGACTGAAACGCTAACCATACTTGACACATTAAATATTCAAAATTCAGCCAAAGTGATGTCATATTTGAAATCTACATGTAAAAGTACATCTAGAAATAGGGTTTCAAAAATTGTAGATCAACTTTGAAAATTTAAATTTTTTTGAAATGTGACTTCTAGTTCAGGTTGATTCCCAATACAAAATCACAATAATTGAAATCACAAAAAGTGAAATATCTTTTCTTGTATTGGATGGATAACATTATAAGTAATTGAATGATTTGAAGTGCAATACAGGATATATTCTGCTCGAGAAATTCCGTATTGGAACGAGACGAAGTCCAGTGCCAATAATATATAATATAATATATATATTTTATGTCAGAATTATATTATAAGTAAGTAAAATTCTGAAAATAGACCTTAATAAATTTCAGTAATAAAGAAGCATTGAGGTGATATCATCTTCTATTTCCTTTTAATGAATGTCTAATGAATGTTGTCTTTATGAGCTTCCTACGATCTATGAAGAGTTGCAATAATGAGCTTATTTGGGTCTGTGAAGTGTCAGATTCATGCTGTCTTATCAGGGCCCTTCTTTATCTAGTGTTAAGGTATCCCAAGGGATAGTAAAGGCTGTAGATCCCACCATGAGCTTCTGGAGTTCTGTAAAATGTTAAGTTTTCCAGAATCTGACAATATTTGCATCTATGAGCTTTCTAGCCTCCTGGGGTCTGTGAAGAGTAACATTTATGAGCTACTTTTTGTCTGCGAAGAGTTGAATTTATGTGTTTCCTTAAGGGTTTGTGGAGAGTTGCATTTATGAGCTACTTTGGGTCTGTGAAGTATTGGATCTATGAGCTTTCTTAAGGGTCTGTAAAGAGTTGCATTTATGAACTTCCTACTTCTAAGATCTGTGAAGCATTGTATTTATGAGTTTCTTAGGATCTGTGAAAAGGTGCATTAATGACTTTCCCGGAAAACTGCTCATCCATTTAACTCAGAACTTTTACAGATACAGTAGACTACTAGATCGAAGATCTTGTCATATTTTAGTTTTTGATATATAAATACATAATACTTGTTGATTTAGTTGGCTACTTTGAATTTCACTACAAGCCCTCATTAACTCATGAATTTATATTTTGTCTTTTTGCAGAGATTTTCTTCCCAGAGGTAGCGGAATTGTAACCCGAAGACCCCTTGTACTACAGCTCATCAATGCTAATGTGGGTAAGTAGAATTTTTCTAATGCTTGCGACTACATGCATTTTTAAAGTACAAAACACCAAACTTGGGTTGCCACTGAATGTAAAGTGATTGTTACTACAATCGATCAGATTTGTACATAATGATGCTAACTAGATCTTAGCATTGGATACATTGGATATGGTCCAATTTGAATGTTATAGTTCAAATTTCTCATTATAATTATGTCTTTAGGTACCCTGCATGCAGAGTCAAGTTATAAACTACCCTCTGCCGAGTATAGACTATATTACAGTTTAGCAGCGCCGCGCATACCCCAAATATTGGTGCTTGTGACTGAGTAATAAATCATTTCAAATCTACCAAGCTGACCCTTTCTCAACCAATCAGTGAAGTGGAAGGAACTCGTGCTAAATACATGCTCATTAACTATGCGGTGATATCAGAGGAAATAACCATATAGAAAGTTGTCTGTATTTCGATGACAATCTCTGATTGGCTCAGTGAGATCAGAGATTTATTGTAAACTGGTAGAAGTAGATTTGAGTCAATGCAAGATTGAATATGATTGTAACCTGGCTGCAAATCCATGCCAATTTTACTACTTTTATCATTCATTATTCAATACTTTATCCTATATGTTGTATAATGGTGCAAGCATAAATTACCATTATAACATTATTACCAGTACGAAAAGGGTCGTGTGATGGTTACTTAGATTTCTTTCCAAAATCATGTACTCCTACTTATTGAGTAATGATATTCAAGTGCTATTACTAGTATCTGTTTCTAATTATTACCACCTTACCGGACCTGTTCTAGGGGTATTAGTGCTAGTTAAGAAGGCATTTATTTTACTATATCGACCTGTGCAGTATGTGACGTCATAGTGGCGGGCCATATTGCCGGTCTATAATGCATTAACGAGGGGCAATTTTCCCCGGAAAATTAGATATCGTGAAATTTTCGTAGTGTAAGCCCTGGGCATTAACGGTGGTAATAATACTATAATATCATAATTTCTGCTGGCAATATAGTGAAATTCGGCCCTCAGTCCAATTTTTCACTATATATTGCCCTTCGAAATGACGTCATTGTATTATTAATATTTTAAACCATGCATGTTCATGCGCAACCACAGTAATGGTTTTCAATAGATACTTCGAGTTGAAAGTCTCTTTTCAAGAATCTGTATTTCACAAAATTTAACCATTTTGACCTAACAATTTAAAATCTTGATTTTCAGAATATGCTGAGTTTCTGCATCAAAAGGGAAAGAAATTCACTGATTTTAACATGGTACGCAAGGAAATTGAAGAAGAAACTGATCGTGTTACAGGGGCCAACAAGGGCATCTCTTCAGTACCTATCAATCTTAGAGTCTATTCACCACATGGTAAGCATCTTTGAAGTGTTCGCCAATACTGGTTATGTTTAGGACCAAATTTAGAGTCTAAATCAAAATGGTCTAAAAACATGTTTCACCACTTCATTCTACATGTGATTAGGTTTTGGACCTGTTAGCTCAGTCATGTCCGCTAATCAAGCATCGTAATTTTTTAAAAATCGACACCACTCCTTTAAAATTGTAAAATTTAAGAGAAACATGTGTTCAAAAAGTTCTCCATATCGATACAACTCCTTTACACCAGTGGATTAGAAGAGTTGATTATTATATGGGTATGTACGTAATTTCTGCATTATTTTGTTTGGAATGGTTCATCAATCATCACCAATCTCGCCAAATGGCATAGCTTCTTCAAGATATGTCCAAAAGGTAGCAGTCTTTTTTTAGAGTTTCCTATACCAGCAGCCATGCTCAGTATTTATACAATATCGAACACTTAAGATTTACCATGATATTAGGAAAAATGGTGCTACCATTTGCTTCCTATTTTGAGTATTACAAAGCTGCATTGCACTCAGTTCAAAATCAATTGTATGGAGCTTAGTTTTAATCATAGATAAGATCATGATTTTGTACCCATTTGAAATACAAATTCTTGGTTTAGGATTTTTAAAAGGTTTGCTGGTTTATTCTTTATTCCCTTCAGAAACCAGTGAGAAATAATTCCTTTTTGGGAATTTTAGTAAAGTTAGTTAATTCTCAGAACTGAGGAATATAATTTTTATGAAATTCCCAAGTAGTACTAAATATTTCATTCTTTCATCACATCCACAATAGCTTCTTTAATCAGTAAAAGTCACATTAGCTTCCTTAACCAATTTAATTTAAGAACTTGTAAATGTCAAAGAGTAAAAGAGAACCTCAGCAGGGAATATGTTTGTCGGAATCATCTGATTTATCCAATTTTGAGACCATGAAATCCTCCTTAGAAATATAAATACTAATCATAAGACAGAATATCGTCTAGGGAGAAATATGTCTTACGACTACAATAAGATGTTGACACCTTTGTGAATTTTTGTTTCATTGTTCTGCTTTTACATAGCAAATATATCACTTTGAATATTATTCGACTTAGACTTGACATTCATCAAGATTTCTCCATGCCGCTCATGTTAAAGGCACCTAATATCGTTAAAACGTTTACATTGAAACATATAATATCAACTCTGTTACCGTTGAATTGAAAGATGCAATTTATATACACCTTTATACATAGCTTCTTTTTTAAATTAATATCTGCTGTTTTTTAACAAAGATTGATGTAATAGTAACTAAAAGCTGGAATTATGGATGAATACATGTTGCGTTTGTATGTGTATGCCAAATAATCTAAAAGTATTTCTAGTCAGATGATTTTAGAAATACTTAGATTGTACCAATCAATATCAAAAATCTAAATTCTCTCATTCCATGAGTAATACAAGGGTTGTCCCAGAAGTAATACACTATACCAGCTCCAAATATAACCAAAGCCAAAGTTCTATGACAGATGACCAAAACAAGATTAGTCAGAGATGTATTTCTAATCTATTTGATCTAACAGAATTTTGTTCATTTTACCATGTAATTATGAGGTCACTTTGCCCAGATTCATTTTTATCTGTCATGCTTGACTGTTTCTAACTCTCCTTTTAACCCCAAGGGACATAGATTAAGCTCATTGAAGAGAACATTTGACATTGAGTTGCCTTGAGAATAAGATCAATTATGAAAAATCAAAACATTCAATAAGTAATATGAGCAAAAACCAACCCATTTTCACATATTTCAACATTTTTTGTAATTTTACCTTATTTTGGTAATGATTTTGAGAATTAAAAATTTTGCACCTACTTGAGAGGAAATTCTGGATAAACCCAGATTTGGGGATTTCTATAGGACTATCCAAGTTAGAAATCAGAAACCTATATTATGTAAACTAATGTTAGATTGATCCAGCTATAAGGGAGTCGTTTAGAATATGAATAATTTTGAGGTGACATGACCCAGTTCAATTGAAAAAAGCGGGCTGCTTGAAAAATATGGCTCAAAATGATATATGACAATTCAGCTCATTTTTGATAAATCTAGAGGACAAAAATAAATGTGTATTTTGCAACAATTTATTTGTCAGCAAACAAGCCAAACATGATAACACTAATTGGACATCGTACAAAATTACAGTATGATAATATACCTGTTTTCGCAAAAAGCTTAAAGCTGGACTTCCCTCCGAAACGCAATCTTGGGTTGTTTCGGGGGTGAACTTTATCATTTTGAGCTTAATGAAAGATTATAGAATGATGAACAAATGGGGCAAATCTTGTGTAGAAATACTTACGATAAATGTGTCATTTCAAAGATTTTTCATTGAATTTGCTTCGATCGGTGCCGGCGATATGATTTTGGAAAGGTTTCTAAATGAAGAACGTGACGTCACTTCCGAATCATAGCATTCAAAATAAGTAGCGTTTTATTACTTCAACTGTTAACAGGAACACGGTGGTGTAGGGGTAGAATCCTCGCTTGGCACGCGGGAGGCCCGGGTTCGAATCCCGCACTTGCCTTTTTATTTTTTTAACTAAATGATTGTTCTATGATATTACGCAGAAAAAAACAATTTTTATTTACATAAACTTTATATCAGGGCTTGAAAATGTAAAAACAATATATGTCAACATATTGCATTTTGGAGCGATGTGCAGGTTTAAGAACAGTCAAATGATGAAAAAATCTTACATAAGACACTACAATGACACTGGGCTAACTAGGCACAGAACAACAAGTACTAGTCTAGTACTATACTATACTAACTGTTACAGATCCCATGAACATTAGAAATCTAAAACTAAAATTAAATCATCAATATAATGAAAAAATGTCTCAGATATCTTATTCATTGTCAAACAACTGCCAAGATAAGGACTGTAACAGTATCACTTGATGTAAGTGGAATTTCTATTGATCTCCCAAGAAGATTCCAATATACATAGTAAGTAATTATAGAAGACCACCGATAAATCAATGGGACTTTGTTTCCAATATACAGTGTGTACTATTAGATAATCTTGGGATTGGATCTTGATGTAAGATGATAAACTCTATTATCAAAATGTCAATGGGGGTCATTTTTGAAATGGGAAATAGAGTGGAAAAGAAAGAAATTGTTTGGAATAAATAGATGTGATTAGAGATAAGTCAACACATTTTGTGGCAAATTGTGTTTTTGAGAGGGGATTCCAGGGGGTTGGGGATTTATTCAGGGGTAATTTAGTCAGGTTTGATAACGATCAAACTGGACTATGTCGGGTTACATCGATTTCAGTAGATTTGAACTGAAATGGGCCTCATAGATTATTTTCCCCCTCTCATTTGGTTTATATAATGACCCATTTTCCTTATACATGTACATTAACCTCTTGAATCCCAGGCTCTAAAATTGGCATGAAACCAGAGAATTTTTCATTTTTTGCCACCTTTTGACATTTTATTACATACCTATACAACTTTAGATGCTCAGCTTAGTAAAATTGGACGGCAGAGATCATTTCTACACGTTTTAAAACAATTTTTGTGTAAATTGGATGAAGATTGTTCAAATGAGAGCAATTTTTGTGAAAAATTTTGTGACAGATTTTCTCGTCCTTCTGGGCACCAGTCTTATTTCATTTGTGACAGATATACCCGTCACTCTGGGTATTCAAGAGGTTAATTACTCAGATGCGAGTAGGTAGTTACCAGTTTCGCCACCAGGTGGCTGATTCGGGGGAAATAACATGGCAGGGTATTACAAAATTCCCTTAAACTTGAATATTCATCAGTTTTAGTGGTTCACTTTTCATATTACCCTTATGTATCTGATAGTTATACAAATTGAAATATGTCCAGTAAAAGAAAATATTATCTGCCCAACACAAGAAAAGATTCCATTTTTGTGATTTTACAACATGGGGGCTATGGAGAATCTCCCCGACCCAGAAGTCACATTTTCAAAGAAAATTAAATTTTCAAAGTTGATAAACTCTTTTTAAAACCACATTTCTAGATGTAATTTTACATGTAGATTCCAAATATGACATCAGTTTGACTGAATTAAGGACGTAAATCAAGATTATTTCTACTTGCATCTAGGATATTGCTCAGTCATGCAAGTAGTGGTCGGTTAGCAAAGAATAAACTAGTTCCCAGGGCTCTATAATATTAGATCTTTTCTCTCTTAAAACAACACCTGACTTAACCTCCATATTATTTTTGTACAAGAGTTCATTTTTTTGCCTTCAGTCAACTCCATGATCAATCACTACTCAGATAAATTATAAACATGAAGCAAAATACCTCAAAAATGCCTGTGTGACAAGAAAATATCTTTAGGGTACAGCAGTACAAATCATTGTTCAGTAAATACATGTACCCAAATAAGGATAGGATAGGTTTATTGATGAGTCTCAATACTGCTTTAAGGAATATTGATTTCATCCTCCCACAATTAAAGCTTCAGGGTTACAAAGTAACCATCTATGATTCTACATCATGGGTTATAAAGTAGGCATCTACGATTCTACATCAGGGGTTATAAAGTAACCATCTACGATTCTACATCAGAGGTTATAAAGTAGCCATCTACGATTCTACATCAGGGGTTATAAAGTAGCCATCTACGATTCTACATCAGAGGTTATAAAGTAGCCATCTACGATTCTACATCAGGGGTTATAAAGTAGCCATCTACGATTCTACATCAGAGGTTATAAAGTAGCCATCTACGATTCTACATCAGGGGTTATAAAGTAGCCATCTACGATTCTACATCAGGGGTTATAAAGTAGCCATCTACATCAAACAGATCACTCTTAACTGCCAGATATTGCCCCATAAACAAAAATTTTACACATCCATTTTTGGCAATATCGATTCCTTCTCTTGAAGCCTTTTTGCATAAAATCTATAAATATCTCTGCAATTAATAAGACCTGTAGCTTTTCTTTGCTTGCTAGACAAAAAAACAAAAATCAATCTCTGATGGTATTTCAGAGCTTCATATTATCGCTCATTGTAATCATTTGTGGATAATTTAGGTATTTTGCCGATATTCATCATCTGACTAGTGTTATTATTCTTGTGTGTGTATGGTGTCAATTAATCATTGATTGGAGTTGATATGATCAGCAGCTACAGAAATATCCCCTGGGAGATTGCAGAACCATGAATATTTTTCCAATTCTCTTTTGAATGAAATTGTACAAATACAAAGACTAATCCATTGCTTTGGTATTAGGATTTGCTGTCGTTCATACTTGTTACGATTTATATGATTTGCCGTGGACTAAAATGGTCTTGTTTTCCATTGTTGCTCTTTGTGGTCTTATTTAGAATGCAGATGTTTTTTCTAATTTCTTTATGTGCTCATTAATAAGTAAAGGTGAATTACCTACATTTATGTTTTGAACATTTATAGCGGTTAGACATTGTTTGGATTTCATGTAAAATCCTTTTTATTAATGTACATACATATATTTACAATTTCAGCAAAAGACAAACCCATCCATTTGTTCATTTGTAGACAGTCCTGTCAAATATCCAAGTAGAATCACAACATTTCTTATATTTCAGTGTTGAATCTTACATTGGTGGATCTGCCAGGTATGACAAAAGTCCCAGTAGGTGACCAGCCTGCAGATATTGAAATACAGATCCGTGGAATGCTTATGGAATTTATAACTAATGAAAATTGCCTCATTCTGGCTGTGTCCCCTGCAAATACAGATCTTGCGAATTCTGATGCACTGAAGATTGCCAAAGAGGTCGACCCACAAGGTATGATTTGAATCTCTGATCAAAACTCAAGTTTTCTTTTTTGAGACCAGAAATATTCTGATTGCATCATGATGTTATATGATTGTTTTATGATGTCATATGATCAATATGAACCAGGACAAGAGGTGTCATAGCTAAGCAATGTGTGGTTGTTTTGTCATATGATTGCAATGCCTTGTCATATGATTGTATTGTTTTGTCATATGATTGCAATGCTTTGTCATATGATTGTATTGTTTTGTCATATGATTGCAATGCTTTGTCATCTGATTATATCGTTTTGTCATATGATTGCAATGCTTTGTCATATGATTGTATTGTTTTGTCATATGATTGCAATGCTTTGTCATCTGATTATATCGTTTTGTCATATGATTGCAATGCTTTGTCATATGATTGTATTGTTTTGTCATATGATTGCAATTCTTTGTCTTATGATTGTATTGGTTTGTCATTTGATTGTAATGCTTTGTCATATGATCGTATTGTTTTGTCATATGATTGCAATGCTTTATCTTATGATTGTATTATTTTGTCGTTTGATTGCAATGCTTTGTCATATGATTATATTGTTTTGTCATATGATTGTAATGCTTTGTCATATGATTGTATTGTTTTGTCATATGATTGTAATGCTTTGTCATATGATTGTATTGTTCTGTCATATGATTGCAGGAACCAGGACTATAGGTGTAATCACCAAGCTAGATCTTATGGATGATGGCACTGATGCCAGAGACATCTTAGAGAATAGGTTATTGCCACTTAGAAGAGGTGAGCTTAGATTTGTTTGATATAAAACAGAATATTCCATCAATTTCTATGCTTGCACCATCAAACATTTTGAAAATGTGACCAAATGTGCTTTTTCAGAAAAGTTACCTTTGGACAAGAAGAATTCAAGCAGTCTGGTATCTAACTACCATGTTATTAACCTCTTGAATACCCAGAATGACGGATATATCTGTCACAAATAAAATCCATTTGGAACCCAGAACGACAGATATATCTGTCACAGAATTTTCCACTAAAACTGCTCTAACTTTGGCATTTTTTATCCAATCTTCACAAATTATGTATTAGAATGTATGTAATAGGCCTATACTATTCTCATGAAATCAAATATCAAACATTGTGTTTTTAGATGGAAATATCCAGAAAACTAGCAGAAAATGAAAAATGCTCTGGTTTCAAACCCTTTTTAGAGGCTGGTTTTCAAGAGGTTAAAGAAAGGAAATAATAAAGAAATAAAAAAAAAGAAAAGGCTTGCAACTGATTTACAAACAGTACAAAACTTTGTCAGAAGTTTGACGTAAATTGACATTCCCTAATTTTCTGTTTCCTGAACAAGAGAAGATGATCCAAAGTATTAGTCTGGTAATGTTCATGCTGTCAATGTCTCTATCTAGGTTATGTTGGGGTTGTGAACCGCAGTCAGAGGGACATAGAGGGGCACAAAGATATCAAGCAGGCCCTTGGAGCAGAAAGGAAATTCTTTTTAAGTCACCCGAGCTACAGGTAAGGTATTTAAAGGGAATATCAATGATAGAGAGAATTGTCTCAATTACAGAACCTTTTCATATAGTTCCATATCTTTTAAAATCATCTGTCTGAACCCTACACCAACAATTGGCAGATCTGCTCCCCCCCATTCTATGATCTATGAAACAAACAATCGTATGCGGTTGTTTTAAGTTATCATTAGAAAGGTTATTCAATCCCCAATTTTTTTAGCTTACAACTACTAACTATAACACTTCAAATATGTCATTGATTCTTTTTCCAGACATATGGCCGACCGAATGGGCACACCATTTTTACAGCGTAAGCTTAATGAACAATTAACAAATCATATACGAGACACATTGCCAGCTTTACGGAACAAACTTCAGACCCAGTTACTTTCAATGGAGAAAGATGTAGAAGAATTTAAGAATTACAGACCAGATGATCCAACTAGGAAAACTAAAGCCATGATGCAGTGAGTACTTAAATTTATGGCATGTATCGGTATAGTGCTCTTAATTGTAAGACCCGATTCAGCTTTTACGTCACCACCACCACCACATCATTTGTGGACAGAGTTCGGTGGTTGGTATTTGGTGATCGGCATTTGTAATAAATAGCAGGTAGTTACATTTAACATGTTGTGATTTCCATAATGAATTCATCTGTCACGATTTGATTCATTCAATGTTCATACTTTTCAGAATGATAACGCAATTTGGTGCAGATTTTGAGAAGAATATAGAAGGTTCTGGGTCAGAAATCAGCACAATGGAATTATCAGGAGGAGCTAAGATTAACAGAATTTTCCATGAACGTTTCCCATTTGAGCTTGTTAAGATGGAATTTGATGAAAAGGAATTACGACGAGAAATTACATATGCAATAAAGAATATCCATGGTATCAGGTAGGTGTTTGATGATTTGAAATGATAAAGTCTTGACATCATTTTCATATGTAAATATGGTTCAAGTGGTGGATTACTATTTTTATATTTACAATAATGATTAACAGAGAATTTAGAGAAAATGCATTTTCTCAAATTATCTTTTCTAGTTAATTTTAAATGTTAATCCAAATGAAGTTACTTGCAACTATTGAGGTACTGTAAGTCAGATTCTCACTTTTTATGAAATATTTATAATCTAAGTTTCTCGCACAAATATGAACTGTTTTCAGAACGGGCCTGTTTACCCCAGACATGGCCTTTGAAACAATAGTCAAGAAACAAATCCAGAAATGTAAAGAGCCCTGTCTTAAGTGTGTTGACCTGGTTGTTGCCCAGCTTACCCAGGTTGTGCACAATTGTACACAGAAGGTACCAACTTCAACACACTAAATGCTGAAATCAGTTTCCTTATAAATCTGTGTGCAAATCTTTCATTTCACTGGGTTTAGGGCCATGAATTTCACTAGATTCTGGAGTTTTTCTGGGTAATGGTGCAATGCATGCTATGTGTGGCCTTGTCCCATTTACTAGGTGAAAGATTTGTGCATGGAGGTTTAACACTGTGGCAGATTTGTGGCACTATGAGAATGATGAACTTGAGAATACAATTTTGATATAAACCTGCAAAAAATGGTTATCAATGAGATACCTTCTTCAAGAGGATACAAAAGATGAAATGAGCCTAATATTCTCCACAAAACTCTGAAATACTGCCACAATTAAGGTGCCATAGTGTTAATGATGCATGCGACTTTCTAACAGCTTTCTATCAATAAAACCTAATCAGAATGCCTTCGTATTAAACAGGACTGGTCTATTTACCCCTGACATGGCGTTTGAAACCATAGTTAAGACCCAGATTTCCAAGTTAAAGGAGCCGTGTCTGAAGTGTGTCGATATGGTCGTTAGTGAACTCACTAATGTAGTCAGGAAATGCACAGAAAAGGTGGGGGACTAATATTTAAGTCTTTACTAAAACACACACAGAGGAAACACATGTGATAGTCAAACAATGATTTTCTTTATAATATTGCTTTGATTAGCTGGCATTTCTATTTTGATTATTTCTTAGTTTTATGGATTAACAATACATCTCGGGATATTTTTAAATATTTGGATCAATTTTTTTTTTATGTAATGGTTTAGTAGTATTTTTATTAGTTTTTATCGTTAATTAGCTTCTAGATCCAATTGTTGCATTCACCATTTTTACATCCCTGCATATATCTTCCGATTATGAAAATGCATGGTTGATTTTCTTCGTCTATGAAAGTCTTGCATGTATAATACATGGTGTTACTTATCAAAATCTCATAAATGTACAGTAAAACATGTCTGTGTCTGAAAACATCAAAATAATATATGAACACTTTTGTGTGTATTATTTGGATTCAAATTGTGAAAACCTCATATTGCAAACACTCGACAGTTACTATGACGGCACTGTTCCCTTCATACAGGTTTTTCTGTACAGAGAAAAGAATATAGTTTCAAATGTGAAAAATAGAGGAGAATAGTTGATTCCTTAATGTTTTTCATACACATATAAGGTATTCTAGTTTGTTCATTTAATGTGATTTATTAATATATGTTTTATAGTTAGTTGTAATTTAATTACAAGTTATAACCATTAGTACCCTTACTGTTAAGTGTTAGTGCATTGTAGTTTCTCATAGCATTTTATATTGAAACGTACATGATAATTTTATTACTATTAGACTATTAAATACACTCTGTACAGTGTACATTTACATTAAGTTCATTGGTTTATTTTAGATGTCACGCTACCCCCGTCTACGGGAAGACACAGAACGTATTGTGAACACACGTATCAGAGAGTGCGAACAGAAGACTAAAGACCAGCTTGTTCTCATGGTGGATATACAGCTGGCATACATGAATACAAACCATGAGGATTTCATTGGATTTGCAAAGTAAGTAAATCAACTAGAATGTGACAATAATTTTTTTCTTTTTCTCGGCACAACAAAACAATTATGTATATATCCTGTTAAGATCTGATATATTGTACATATTAAAATAAAATAAATGGGGACCAAAAAAATAAAAAATAACGTCCTCTGTTAACATGTCTCAATTGTTTAATTGTTGAATATAAATAAACTCATCTCTCCTCTTGAGGCATGTAACATACTAATATGTGTCTCATTATTTGTCCAATTAAAAGTCCAAAATAATATATGATATGTTTGTAAATAATTCATGTATGTTTTCTTTTATATCCAGTGCCCAACAAAAGACAGAAACTTCTAACAGAAAGAAAATTGGCAACCAGGTAAACTTCCCAAGATGAGATATTTTATGTAAAATATTCTTAATTTATATTATATTTAAAATCCCAAATTAGATCTTCTTTTAAAAATCTCAAACTTTTCGTTTATTAAATGATGGATGCAAATTCTATGGATACTTTAGTAAAGTAAAAAAAAAAGTTGAACATAGTGAAATTTCTTTTTTAAAAATTCTCGCAGTTATTCATCTGAATTGTGCAAGGGTTGCTTGTATTACTTGTTTTATCATTAATAATTATCATTCTTCGCATATATGTTACCTTAAACAGGTACCATATTCTTTTCTTATTGTATGTATATTTTACTTGCACTGATTTTGATTGCAGGGCTTAGTTAATGTTTCTATTTTAGGGTAGCAGAGAGGGATGTTCATATTTATATACAGAATAAAATGGGCAATACCATCAAGCATAAGTTTCTCATTTTAGTGGAATAATACATACAGCTATAAAGAGCATGCTGTCTTAGTATTAAGTATTATTTATATAATAAATATGCTATTCATGTAATATATATGTTTGCTTAAACTGATTTGTAAAGTTATGAATATACATTTTCATAATTGCTATTTGGTAATTTAATAATTTTATTAATGATGCCATCTCTTTTTATTTATTTATTGATGTCATCTCTTTTTATTATTTATTTATTTATTATGTCATTCCATTTTTATTGATGTTTCTCGTCATATAATGCTTAGGTAATCCGTAAGGGCTGGCTTGGATTCCATGCTGTTAGTATGCTGAAGGGTGGTTCCAAAGACTTTTGGTTTGTTCTCAGTCAAGAAATGATAACTTGGTACAAAGATGATGAGGTAAAATACAGATTCAGGGCCAAGTTGATGTCCAGCAATGCTGAGCATGGATATGTGTTTCTTTATGTTGTTTTTTTAAACTTCAATGCATAGAATTCCTGAGATAACTGTTTTAAGACTATTATGTAATGTGACAGTCATAGACCTTGTCTTGTCTTGTCTTGCAATTGCAATACTAAAAAACAAAACAAAATCCTATGCATTGAAGTATTTAGATTTACCCTTAAGTTCCTTCATAATTGGAGAACAGCACAACAGCATATCTAGGTAAGGAAACAGAGTCCACCTTTGTTTTTGGCAATTTGCTGATCCAAGTAGGTACTTGTAGGTAATTTACTGACCCAGATGGGCCATCATACTTTGTAGGTTATAAGGAAGGGTTGGCTGGCCATACATAGCTCTAGTATGTTTCGTGGAACAAAGGACTTCTGGTTTGTCTTGTCTACTGAATCGATAAGTTGGTTCACAGACAATGAGGTAACTCCATAGATGTCAAGCATGGATTTAGCTGCCATATATCTACATATTGCTTTGTATAAATATATGTGTCTTTATATATTGCATGTTTTACGAAGACTCACTGGAATCTTACTCACCATCAAAGAAGAATGATATATCCTTGTGTCCCAATTGTATTTTGAACAACATAACAATTTGAACCATCATGATGAAGAAAGTTTAACATTGGGATTAAATAATAAGAAGCATATTCAAAATTGAATTCAAATTTGTTCCCAATTTATATGAACAATTTAAGTGTCAATGCAAAACAATATCTTAATGGTTGATTAACAACTAACAGTCCAACTCTATTCATTTTATCCTTGAGGTGCATTAGAGATTCCAGTGAGTCACTGTCATCACATACATTCTTTTCCTGCATGTTCAACTCTAGACCCAAAGCTGATTTATTGTTAGGTGGTACGCAAAGGCTGGATTCAGCTACACAGTGTAGGGCTTATCAAGGGGGGCTCTAAAGACTACTGGTTCGTGCTAACCACTGAAGCATTGCATTGGTATAAAGACCAAGAGGCACGTATTTCAGAAGTGCCCCTACATAAAATCTCAGTCGTCATGCATTTATTTCATTTCCTCTCAAATAGCACAATTCACTCCATGTTGTCCAGTGTCCACTCATACAGTGAGATTGGTCATACAAGACATTGTTACTTTGAATAAAATTTTAAATGTTTTAAATGGAAACGAGGAAAATGCATGCCCTGCTACTAGGTCTTATGTAGGGCAACTCCTTATATTCCATCACCTTCCACAGCCACTCTACCAGTGTCTATGGAGACCAGTCAACCACCCTAACAGGTTTGCTCTACAGTGTGCCTGTGTCAATAACTTAGACAGTGAGTTTAACAAAGTGTGAATTTTAACAGGTTATTCGTAAAGGCTGGCTCGCAATACACAATGTTAGCCTCTTGAAAGGGGGCTCCCGTGAATTCTGGTTTGTTTTGACCACTGAGGCAGTTATATGGTTTAAAGATGAGGAGGTAACGTAGTAATGGCCTTCACCTTTTAGTTCTCACCTATTGACCTTGAACCCTAATGACCTTGACATTAAGCCTCATATTTCTCCTAATTTCTTTTGTAATAATTATTACTAATTCTAAGAGCTGTTCTGTCTAATAAATAACCTTTACTAGATTTAAGCTTCTGCTGGCTGAATAATTCAGTGGTGGGTTTTTCTCTAAGCTACTCAAATGCTAAATATTCTGTTCTCACGCTGATTCTGTCCTATTGTTTCATTCAGTTGGAAACTGAGAAATCACCCTTAATTCAGATTTACTCTAAACATTCTATCTTCATCTCCCATACTACTTAAGACATGTAAGATCTATTTTCATGATAAGACTTATATCTGTTGTTATTCTCCATTCAAATAATAACTTTATTGCCAAGGTGTTGGTCAAATTGATGTTGATTTATATTGTAACAGTACTCATACACAATATTTATGATAAAGAGGCTTTTCATTGATGTTTCAAATCATGCTTGTTATTTAAAGGTCAGATAAGTGTGCAAGGTCAATATAATGCATGAGGGATTAAGTGACTAATCAGGTCATTAGAGAGCTCATTGTGTGTGTTTGTTTTGTTTTTTATTGTTGATGCACCTGTATTATTCGGCTGGTGATTAAAACCAAATTTTTGTTTTTTCATATTATGATTAATTTATGGAAAATGTTCAGGAAAAACTGAGGTTTTCATTGATTTAGGGGGCACTGAGTTGGGTCACAAAATATACTGTCTGTTGGCCATTTTGTGTGACTTTTGTCATTGACTCAAGGGCAATGGTATGTTTCCTATGTAATTGTAAAAATGTTATTGTCAGCTGTGAAATCAGCCTGGGTGTAAATTGCACAGAAATTTTTAGGTCAGTCACAGATTGTCCTATTATTTCCAAGGGGCATCTAATTCTAAATTAAGGAAAATGATCAATCCCATTGAAATCAATGTGTTTGTATTTCTGACTTAGATATCTTACCTACACTTGCACTGTTAATTGAATTGAATTGATTTTTTCTGTTACTTGGAGTGCTCAGTTTGGAATGTTCAATTGTTGAGGTGTTACGGCATTGGTTGACAATATGTTTTTCTACACTACAAATACATTTATTAGAATTGCCCTGTAAAAATGAAAAAAGTGGGGCACTGGGGTTGTGATTTGCCAGTCTAAATATGGTGAACAGATTTTGATTCAAAGAAATTTAAAAATACTTCTATATCCTGTGGTTAACCTCTGTGAAATTATATTCTTCATTCATGAATATTCATGAATGATGAATTGACATCAAATAAAAATAAGGGATGAAGAATGTTTTTAGTTCTACTTCTTGATCGATGAAATATTTTGAGGAAATAGTAGAATTTTTCAGTGACATGAATATTCCCCAAAGTTCATCATAACATTTGATGGTAAGAATTAAGAACGTTTAAAGGTAAGTTGCAGGTAATCAGCAGGTAAGTTGTGCTTGTGTGTTGTATCTATGTGCATATGCTTGTTTTACAATTTAACATATTTGTATTTAAGATCATTGCATACATTTACAGAAAGTAAAGGATCCATTTAATTTTCCATAAAATACATAAACACGCAACATTGAACATTCATTGAACATTATTTTTAATTTTTGTCTTTAATTCCTATAAACTAACGGAAAAATTGCTCATAGGTACAGGATATCATAAGAAAGTAAATTTTTGATTTAATAGTAATTATAAAAACTCAATTCTAGATCAACTTATCTAATCCAATACTTCACATTCCAGGAGAAAGAGAAGAAATATATGCTCCCCCTAGACAACCTGAAGATCCGAGACCTCGAGGCTGGATTCATGTCTCGACGTCACATGTTTGCATTGTTCAATCCAGAACAGCGGTAAGAGTAACCATCTTGAATAAGTAAATTAAGTCTTAACCGTGCAGCAAGGTGATGAGAAAAAATCTATTGTAACATCTGATAAGACAATCAATTTATGTCGCATACCATGTTTGTAAAATTAAATTCAGACTTAGGCAAACCAGATTCTGTTCAGATTATCAGAAAATGAGTTAAATTGAAACCAGAAATGAGTTTATAGATTGAAAGTGAATTGTAGAATGAGTGAATTGTAAATGACAAGAATAATGTCTACAATGTTTCAGTAAGATTACATGGCAGTACATGCTCAGAATTGACAATTTTCCTCGAACATTTCATGTAGCTTATGTATATATGCTGGTTTCTTATTGTAGGAATGTGTACAAGGACTACAAGCAGCTGGAGTTATCAGCAGAGACCCAGGATGACATGGATAGTTGGAAAGCTTCATTCCTCAGGGCTGGTGTTTACCCAGAGAGAAAGTCCGAGGATGACAAGGTTTAAAACTTTAACAGATTATATTTATCAATATATAAAATATAAAGTGATTTAAAAAACATCAATTTTTGTGATGAGAATTCAATCAGAGATTAGTTGTTTTGAGGATTTTTTTAAAATCTTGAATTTCATAGTTCTTATGTCACCACCAGAAGTGTTGACATATTGTTATAGTCTCCAACTTTTTATGGATGGTGTTCAGCGTCTTTACCTGATTGTGGTCAGTGTCTGTAACAAATGGTAGGTGGTGACATTTTGCATGTTTATGCCTTGGTTAGTGTGTAAAACTTCCAAATTATGAAAATATTAGAATTGAGCACATTTGTAGAATGGCATGTAGCCCATCATAAAGCTTTTTACTATTTGGATCCTGTCACATTGTCTCATCTTTTGACTGTCCATTAACATGAGATAGATCATTTCACAAATCATGATAATCCAGGGAGAGCTTAATAAAGATACTATTCACTGCATCATTTAAGATTATAGATTACCCATTGATATTACAATGACAGTCAGTGGAAAGTTTATGACATCAACACAATGTTTTCACTACAGAGATCAGCTGATGATAGTGTTGGTTCAATTGACCCTCAGCTTGAGCGCAGTGTAGAGACTATTAGAAACTTAGTAGATTCTTACATGAGAATCATCAACAAGACAACTAGAGATTTAACACCAAAATCCATTATGCATATGATGATAAACTCAGTAAGTTAGACACAATTCAAAACTAGGGCCTTGGAGGATTCAATCTGCCCCAAATATGGACATGTGTTAATAGTAATATCCATATATGGAGGAACAGTTTTGAATCAGGCAAGGCTTTGGTTGATTTTTAAACATTTTTATAACTATTCTCTTGTATTTTATTTTGCGAATCAGAATTCAAAGGATGAAGTGACTTCTAGTATGGATCCGCAGTTGGAGCGGCAGGTGGAGACTATTCGCAATCTCGTTGATTCTTATATGAAAATAGTGTCAAAAACCACTAGAGACTTGACACCTAAGACTGTAATGCATCTCATTGTAAACCAAGTGAGTAAGGATGACAAGGGTGGATGCTCGGATGTTATTAATAGATAGGCTTTACTGCCTTTACTTATACTTTTCCCTTAGTACTATGCGTGTATGGTATCTAATTAGTTCACATTATGTTCGCATTTAACTATCTCACTGTCTGCTAATTTTTCAGATTGTCTTTATTTGTTGTATTGAAACATGGGATTTTGCTTTTGCATCCATCTAATGGAAGGTCAGAAATGTTCCCTGAATAAAATGTAATTTTTGTCTAAAATTCTTAAATCATACAAGTAGCCTAATCTCACGTTTTAGAAATCAGCCTCCATAACATTATGATCTAACATAAAATGTAAGACAAATATCTCACATTCCTCTATATTTTTGTGATCTATATCCATATGAAATTATCTTCACTTAAACTAAAAAAATGATAAAATTTAATTTTTCAAACATTTTTTCAATTTTAGCATCAATTTTGTCTGAAACTAATAAGTTGAAAAAAACACATAATCATGACTAACATTTCTTCTATGCTAATTTAATTGGCTGTGATGCCCAGGAATGGCTTTAGGAGAGATGTGGTTGGAGTCAGCTGTAGAAATATAAATAGATAACAGTGAAACCTGTAAAGTTGAACACCTAGAAGTGGAACATCTCTGTAAGTGGAACACTTTTCAGATTCCTAAGACCAACTGACTTAATGTTAAACGAACCTCTATATGGGGAACATCTCTCAAGTGGATTATTTTCAGAGGTACCAAAGGTGTTCCACTAAGACAGGTTTTACTGTATTGTGTATGATTGTGATGCTTTCTTTCATTATTGTTGTTTATATTACACTATACATGTACATACCCCAGCATAAACCATATAGATGAAAAGTAATGAGACTTTAACAGCCAATCAAATCAATTCAATGATTATTTGTTATCAATAGGTTCATTCTGGGTAATGTATTGTAAACTACCTTTACATTAAACTTCAAGTTTCTTGGAGAACTTACATGTGATTGTGGAGAAGTATGGTTCTTTGGGGATTAGTTCTGTAACAACCTTGGATAGTGCTGACGGATTAGCAGTAAAGCATCAGACATTGAACTGGAGGGTCTTGGGTTCAATTCCTGCATTGGGCACACTCTCTTATGTCTCTATCTAGCTTTTTACAATAATAGCTCTCTTTAGTACTAGACATCCACGGGTGATTACGGTTCTTTGTAGTATACTTTGGAATATTTGATTGCAGGATTGAATATAAAAGGAAAATTACTTGTGTCCATGATAAACTAATTTAGAGGCAACATTAATCTTATGGGGTCATACTCTTACCCATTTACACATAAGTTCCCAAAGATGGCTTAACCTTCCTATTTTCAAAAGAAAACATAAAAAATAAATGGTTGCCATAACAAATTTTCACATTAATTTCACGTTTAGCATGGCACATTCTGTATCTAGTTTGTACTTCGTATTTTGTATTGCATGAATTTAATGTTTGTACAAATGCAATATGTGAATATCTATGTCACAGCACCGCAGTACATTTATGTATTTGTATTGTTTAACTTGTTTTCAGTATATTATTAAAGATGGATAAATCTAGGTGTGAGATACATTAAAGTAACGATCAATTATAGTCAAAAAATAAATTTCACCAGTTTGATTTTTTGATTCTCACTGTACATTGTTCTATGAATTCCCCAGAATATGTTCCAAGTTTACAAAGACTGGCAACGACATGGCCAGGTATGCTATGTGTATCAACAAACACAGTATAATCAGCTCAGTGTAGAGCCTAAACTGTTTATTTTGTCTGGGGTATTCATTATCATATCTAAAAATACTTTCCATGTTATTATATGTTCATGTTTGCTTAGATCCAATCATTCCTGGAAGCAGAGCTGCTAGCTCACCTATACTCCAGTAGTGACCAGGTAAGGTCAAGGTCACCAGATGTCGTCTGCATGTCAAGGTCACCCAGGGGTCATCCTGCAGTTTTATTTTGTTTTTAGATAGATTACTTGTGCTTTAGGGATGTATGTACTAGTAGGGTATATATTCCATTTATCCCAGCTGTTACCTTTATGAGGATTAGTTAATTTAGTTACGGAGAAACTAGCTTACTATTGCATACATCACTATTGTTGTCCTGGGAGAGAGAGTGGCTGGTAAACAAGGGGATCTTCTATTGTAAGTGAACAACATTGTACCATTAAAGAAATTTTAACCATACATTACATGGAAATTCATAAAACAAATTGCTTGATTCACAATTGCATTTACTTTCACAAGTAAAAACTGGCATTAATCATCCTTTCGTTTGAAAATACCCTCTTGGAAACTTCAAATTTGATGCTACACTTTATCAAGATCAAAATTCATTAAAGATGTAACAATGTTGTACACAGTCACTATAGACCCCCTCTATGTTATATATTAATATACACCAGTCCTGGTGGTAGAACTAGAAGTTATTGTCCGCACACTTATGTTCCATTATTTTGTTGCTTTTATTAGACCCAGTTGTTTATCACAGAAGAATTACTAGCTCACCTTTACTCATCCGCTGACCAGGTAATACTCTTAATTAGTGCACATTGTTAGAATTTTGGGAAATGATCTGAAAACATTGTCAGCTAGCATATTCACCATGCCAATAGGCCTGTCTAAGATGTATAGTATACAACTTGGTCTTGCATCTTCATTCTTATTAGAGGGGCTTTCCAAAAGTTTTATAACTTGTATACTCATTATTCAAGGGGCAATTTAAACTTTTATCTACTATATTATCAAGATGAGGATGATGCTGATATTTTTGTCCTTTGATATTTTTGTCCTATGATTGGTCTGGTGACCAAAAAGTTCTGTATTCACTAGTTCTATTGGAATATTTATTAATATAAATGACTTGTACATTGCACTTGATACATATTGGAATGGGGAATAATACACAGGGTGGTCAAAAAATGGAAACCCTGCATTTTCCTTATATCTTTGTCATTTTAAAAAATTACTCCCTGATATTTCACACATTTGTACATCATTCAATTATCTACCACAGTTGTGAATGACCCGAGTGCATTGCTCAGCAGGTATGGCCTGAATGACACCAATGATCTCACTTTTGAGATTTGCAATTGTCCTGAGGTCATTCTCATATACTCTATCTCTGCCATATCCCCGCAGGTACAGGACATTAATCTGATGGTCATGAAATAAAGTGGGCTGGTAGCAAATTGAATGATGTACAAATGTGTAAAATACCATGGAGTTCTGTCTTAAAATGACAAAGATATGAGGAAAATGGTGTAAAAAGTTTTTTTGACCACCCTGTATTATTTTTATACCTATGTATTTATAATGCATGATGTAACATTATTATTGTATTGGGAGATTTGGGAATTTGTTTTTAATTTAAATCAGACTGTTGTGTTTCCTATTTACCACTGAAAATTCAACATATTAACATAGCAAAAATATTAGCATTTGATTACCAGTTGTAGTTAAAAGTAAACAAAAACAATGTACAATTGTACTAACAACCTTCTTGTACATGCATGTTACTAGCAACACGTGGAAGACATATTAAATTGAATAATGTAACCTTAAAAGGAGAATACATTGAACTTGTTGTATTTAAAATGCACCAAACTGTTTATATATAAATTCTGAACCTGAAAGTCAGTCTATTTAGACTTTCGTTTAGATTTTTATAATCTTTTAAACACAAGTTCATTTTTATGTGCGTATCAATCCTTTTGCATATGAATCATTAAGAGTAATCATTGTTTATATTACATACCGTATATAAATCCTAGCAAATGTTAATGTTTTAGGGCTCTCTGATGGAGGAATCTGCCGAGGAATCTCTCCGTCGCGAGGAGCTTCTACGTATGTACCATGTCACCAAAGAGGCCCTAGGGATCATATCAGAGGTCTCTATGAAGACTGTCTCTACCCCATTGCCCCCACCAGTCAATGATGATTGGCTAAGCCCATCCAACTCTGGAGGCATGCCTGGTGGTGGCATGTCAAATGGGTAATTATTTAATTATTTCTTGAGACCAAGGAAAAGTTTAACAGTTCAGTTTTAGCTTGGATATTGCTTTAGTGAACTCAGGTCATGGACAATTTTTTACGAGACCCCAATGATTTTTAAAAATATATAAAAAAGTTATATATACAAGTTATGTCAGTGCAGGTATAATGACCATGTTTTTTGCAGACCTCCTTCACCAGGCCCCATGAGACCCATGCCATCAAGACCTCAGGGTCGTTCTGCTCCAGCTCCCCCAGCTCCTGGCAGACCAGCCCCAAATATACCAGCAAGACCAGCTCCTACCATACCAGGTCGCCCAGCTCCTAGCCCTGTAAACACAGATAATAGCTTTGGAGGGCTTCCACCCCCTCTAATACCATCGTAAGTATCCAGGGGTTTCACTTTGTAAATCAAGGACTGGTGTGGGGACTACACAAATTACAAATATAAATATTGTACACAGTAAAGGGCATATTTCTTTTGTATGTTTTAGTGATAAGAAAGAACAATGGCCGATAATTAAAAATGAAACAACATAAATTCACCAATTCAATCATATATTCAAGAGTTTAAGCCATAAGAGTAGACACATAATATTCTGTCAGTATCAATGTATATCTCTATAAACACATTCATCTCACTTTCTTATAATACCAATTTGATGTTCTATGAAATGCCTAGTTGTAATCACAAAAATATACACAAAGAAATAGTGCTAATATTTCATATTCATAACTATCAAATTATAATTGCATGGCTATATTTGGGTATAACATTCAAAGCATGCAAGCTTCTTTAAAACACCATAGATTGAATATGATAGTACTGCACTAATAGTAATAATAATTCATAGTTTTAATTTGTTCAACCAAATAGATGCATGTCTCATTTTAATGTACAGATAGCATGCCATATGTTGCCAATATTGTGCTAATTGCAGTTCAGTGTACAGTTTATTGTTCTCTAAACTGCATGTGGAAATTCTGCACATCAACATTTATTCTGTATTCAGTATTTCATTTTGTTGCAATATTGAAACACTTATAATTTGCATGTCTACCACAAGACATCACATTTCATATACCCCACATCTGCACGTGGCTATTCTAAATAACTATTCGTTTTCATTAAGAGTTTCTGATTTATTTATTTTATTAGGCGTCCCTATTCACAGCATTCATATCAGAGTGTACCTCCCAAGATTCCTGGCAGGCCTTCAATCCCAGCTCGCCCATTATGATGTGCCACAAGTGTATATAGGCATCTCTTATAAACTGTATATAAAGTTAGCACCAAAAGCTTCATATGTTTGCATAGTATTAGCTTGTTTGGAAGTGGGGTTCGGGAAATATCTATAGTGTTATGAAGTGTGTGCTTTCTATTAATATTAATTTCCTTTGTAATACCTTTAGTTCTGCTGGAGGTTTAAATCTTGATTTTTATCTGTTTATTAGTCTCCAACTTTTTTGTGGACGGTGTTAGTGTTAAGTGGTCAGTGTTTGTTAGTGGTCTGTGTCTGTAACAAATGGCAGGTGGAGACATTTTGCATGTTAATGCCTTATGTAGCTTTTTTCCTCATGTTTGAATTTTTGTGTTGTCTTTTGAAGCATTGAGATTGAGAATATCAAGTATGTATTGTTTTGTTTGACTGGTCTGAGAATGTTCAACGTAGCTATCATTCTTTTGTGTTCTCATTTTGGAACCAATGAGAAGCTTTGTTTTGCTTATAGATGAAAAATGTATATATGTAATATCAGGGGTTCTTTCTGTGTTCTGTCTTGGAAGCTGAGATATGTTGGTTCAACATGTAGAAGTTTCAAAGGTTGTCATTATTTTGTGTTCTGAAAAAGCTTTCAAAAGCTATACTAACCTATTAACAGTTTGTGCTTTGATAACTCTGTAATATCACAATTAGCGTTATATGAATTTTGAACTAACATATCTGCATGATGAAATTGTTCCTATTGCTGCTGTTGTGTGCTCATCTGAAGATAGATTACATCTAGTAATAAAGTCCCCTCATATTCTCCTTAAGAATGGAAAAACAGAGAGATTTGTTGACCCACTTAAAGAAATATAGAATTTCACTCAGTTTTGTGCACTTGAATATATTACATCAGTAATGACTGAAATTTTTAGAAACAAAATTGCAAAAACCTTTGAATCGTAATTTTGATAATCTTTTGAAAAAATCTCTCTGTTATATAGTAAAGTATACTTAGGAATAGAAAAATTGCTCTTGTTTTAGATTTTTAATTCATAGCTTTGTAGCATAGATCAAATATAGATACAAGTATTAAATCAACTAGTTCATGTATATGAGCAATATTGTTGTCACATTTAGTGAATTATCAATTTTGTAAAGAATATTGTCATTTTTTTTGTGTGTGTTTATTTGCATCTTGAGAAATCTGCCATATTCCACCCTCCCCAGTTATCTCAGAAAATGCTTACATTTAAACTAAATATTTTTTTCAGGAGGCCAAACCCTGGTGTTCCACCAAGGATTCCTTCCAGACCCAACTAACCCCATTCGGCAGTTCAGACACTTCCAGTCAGTTGGAATTTTAGATACAACCCTATTGTACAGAACAGACTAAGGGATCAACCATTATTAATCAGATGATGAGACTAAATGAGCAATATGTGTTATGGATGTTAGTCAGTAATTTACAGTGGTGTACAATCATGGATATTAGGAGAAACAATGTTGTTGTTGAAATCTAACTAGCATTTGGTTTTATCAGCTAATCTCAGACCAAATAATATATGAAAATGGAGTTCTTGGAATTGTAGACGAAAGTTGCATTGAAAAGAAGATACTACTGTACAGACACCCACCTTTTGCATGGTGTGGATATTTATAGGTAAAGTTTTTCACATTAAGTGAATTCAATCAAAAGATGCTGTAGTTTATTGGGTATGCAATGTTTGAGGTATGTGTGTGATTAGCACATCACATCAAAATAGTCTTAATGGTTGTTATGTTCTTGTATCTCGTAAACTTTGTGTCTGTACTCACCTAGTTCTATGCAAATTATTTTCACAGTTTTTCTACATTCTTGTAATGGTATTAGTACTGGTCCATATTTTGTAGTATGTTTGTATCCAATGATACTCTTTTGTTATTGATGACAGTTATGGTGAAACTAGTGGTAGTGCTAAATAATGTAGGCATATTCAGTGGTCATATCCAAGTCCCCTGGTCTATTAACAGAATATTAATGTAGGCATGTAAAGGGGTCATATCTAGGTCCCTTACAATTTTAAATTGGCCAAATTTCAGACCTGAGTATTATCCACACACATTTTAATGCAATTATGGAGAATTCGATAGTGAAACACTGAAGTGGTACTGATTGGTCCCTATCATATTCTGAAAACATATTATAGGCTTATAAATAGCAAGGTGTAAATCTGTTTTTTATGAGTTATGTACATATTTCTGTTAAGATTGTAAATAAAACTCATAGCTGGTTAACATGTATGTATGTGCAATAAAAAGAATCCCATGGAAATGTCTTGTTTTGATAAAATCATAGTGGTAGAAAGAGGAATTAGCAGGTAAAGTAAATAAGCATTGATTAAAAAACATTTTAAATTTTATGTGGCAATTTTACCTAATCATTTAATTTTCCAATTGACTAATTTCTGCCATGTTGGGTAAATTAAATATCCGATATATTATCTTCATGATGTTATCCAATGGGAAGTTTCTTGTCATTTAGAAAATTAAAATAAGGAAAATGATAAAATTTGACCATTCGGCAAACTAATCCCTCAGATTAAATATCACTTATACAGTATGTGAAATTGCAAGAAATCAGGTTATTTATTTGATTTGAGAAAAGATGTGGTGTAATCATAACCATAAGTTATGTATGATAAAAGTTATTTAATTCATTGTTGTACCATGGAAACCTTAAGAGAATTATAGATTTTAGCTATTCCTCATTTTAAAAACTGGCTTTCACTGGCATTGTAATCACCCCTGTTTCTTTATTTCTAGTCTTGATATAGGCTAGTATCACATGCCTGGTGTGGAGGCTCCAAAACTATCCCTTTCTGCCCATATATCATCTCATTTTCTTTCCATAACAGTTATACCAAGATACAAAATATTACAGTACTAATTGCACTTCATGTTAATGCACAATATTCACTATCATGTTTTTATTAATATTTCTGCAGAGGTCTGGTACTTGAACGCAGAAATCTTTGATCAATTTTGTACAAAAAGTAATGATAAGTAGGTAGGATGAATATGGACTACGAATCTTTTAGAAGGACATACTGTACATCTCAATCATTCTTCAGTGTTTAGGGATAATTAAATGGACAGTTGTCAATAGCATCAGTCATCATGACTTACTCTCTGTGAGCGTGATCTTTCGTACACATTTTGTACATTTGGTTTGGCATTTTGAGCATACAGTGCAGTAGAACCAACCTGTGTTCTTGGAACATTTTCAGAGCCTCAAAATAGTGTCCAATTGGGAGATGTTTCACTGACATTAAGTTAAAGGGTAGTTGAACTTTTAAGTGTTCCACTCACAGATGTGTTCAATATTACAAATTTTACTGTATGTGTGCTTACATTTATCAAACCACAGACGTGTGTTGTAAAATACAGTGAGCCATGAAGATATATTAGGCTGATGGTGTATATGTATAAACTGTTCATAAGGTAGATTGTACAGAAAGTAATAAATTGTTTAATTGTGAATGTATATGTACATTTTTATTTATAAAGCATCATAAATTGTTATCTTCACTGTTATAGCATGCATGCAGTTAACACCAGTTAGAAGGGCTGAGTAGTTTTGTGCACATCCCTAAGAAACATGGATAATTATCCTGTAAATTATTAAAGGGTTGTAAGCATTTCTTAGAGCTGTGTGAAAGACTGTAAAATGTGTATTATGTTGAGTCCCTTTAAACAATGGGTGTTGGTGAAATGCATTTAGTGTACAAAATATTATATGTATGATGTATAGTGGAAATATTAATATAATGTAATAACATTATTAATGATTAGAAAATACATATGTCATGTTATTTTGTTATATGAGCCAGGCCACAGGAAAAGGGGTCTTATCACAGAATTTTTCAATATTCTGATTTTTTGTTTATCTTAAAAAGCACAAAGAGACCTTTCAAATGAGCCATGGCTTGTGTCTTAACAATTTTTCCTTGTATATATAAACCAATAAGTCATATTTGAATTTAGCACATTTTCCTCTTAATCTTGGGCACATTTTTGGCTCTGTAGTACAATTTCAATTTTTGTGATAAGACCGGTTTTCCTATGGCCAGGCTCATATATTTATTTTGAAAGGTACATTTAAACCTGAGTAGGTGAACACCTCTCTAGTGAACCCCTATCAACAGTGAACTAGCAAACCCTTTCTCTCCCATTGCTTCCACTGAAACTTTGTGAACACCTTCCTACTTTGACCAGTGGACACTAAATCTTGGCAAAATTAATTGAATTATCCTTGTCAAGTGAACATTGACTCAGATTTCTCACTATTTTCTGCAACTGTCTTATTACAGTTTAGCATGAATTATCAATTTGCAAGAAGGTAAAAAGGTGTACAGTGTTCTAATCTCGTCTGCTGACTGAACACAGAAACTGAAGGGATTTAACCAAAAATTACAAATTAAGGTTGAGCATTGCCTCTAGTCTCTACAGCTCCCTTAAATAATTGGTGTCCATACAATACGGCAAAATGCCACGAAATCAAATCCTGTCTGTAGTGAACACCAACACAGAACGCTTTTTCTCAACAAAAAAGTTCAATATACAAAGGTTTTACTGTATTTGGTTACTTTTAATCATGTTACCACCAGATGTGGTGACATATTGTTATAGTCTCCAACTTTTTTGTGAAGTATGTTCGGTGGTCGGCGTCTGTAACAAATGGCGTTCAGCGTCTGTAACAAATGGCAGGTGGTGACATTTTGCATGTCAATGCCTTGTTTTGGCTAAGTTATAGCCAGAGCTAGCCAATCTATACCAATCATTTCAATATATAAAATTGTGAGACTGTGCTGTTCAATATTTCAAAGTTTTTATGACATTTTTATGAAATTTTTCTGTGAAAGATCATGTGTGTCCACGAATGTCAAATGTATTTATTGCCTAACACCTTTAATCACTGACAGGCGCATTTTATTCTACAATGCAGGTGAATCACATTTAATTACTGAAAGCATAAGCATCGTTTATAAAAGTAAGTCGCCTTAAACAAGTATGTGAATGTTAATGGCCATATCATGGGCTTCAAGTTTATGGTCATATTAATGGTGATATGTATGTATGGCGAGAGCAACAACTAACCGTGCGGGATAAATTTAAGGATTTAAGCCCTGAATTCTGTTCAGTGTGGACTGATTATCATGTGTGAGCATTTTCAATAGTTTCATTAATAATAAGAAAAACATGTTTAATGAAAATAGAATAAGATATACTTGTATTATCAAAGATTACATTTGCCGTCTTCAAATTACTGGAGTGACCTTGAATGTCACGTAGCCTTTATAAATGCATGTATGAAGGAATATGTGCCTTCTAATCATGGTGGTTAAAGGAAGAAAAACGCACAGAAACATTATCCAATGATTCCATTTTATACTGTCATAATAACACAAAAGTATGAGATGGTTATCAAACTGGAAACATTACTATTACGGTAAAGATGGAATAGAACAAGAAACTCAGTGCTCAGAATTAGAAAATTAATAACACATTGAAAAATTAGTTTAAAAATAACAATCCCTAAAGCAGGTGCGCTCAAGAGTGTCCTGCAAGTTTCCTAATCAATCAGTCAACTCGGAAAAGTCACTACAGGATTAAGTTTATAAACAAAAATCAGACATGAAAGTATGGTTATGGCTTATATTTACACATTTAACTTTTTAATGCTAAGTTTGGCAAATATGTTTTTACAATTCAAATATAGTTTGTCATGAGACTAGACATAGTATGGTACTGTTCAATGTGGTATTTTGAGTCCGTCATTTGTAAAAGAACAGCGCTTGTAAATAGTAGCTCCGAGTTGATGGTCTACTACACACTCGAGTCTTTCCTCCATGCAGAATCCAAACACTTTGGTTGTATCACCATCGGTTTGACTACACAGGTCACCCTCTTTCAGTTGACAACGACGTTTCTCTGGATCAGTACACTATTAATACGGAGTGAATATGAAATATAGTGCAACATTTATGAAATATAGTACAATATGAAATATAGTGCAATAAAAATGATATTTAGAGACAGGTGATATCTTTATCAATGGGACAATTGACGATAATTGACATTTTTAAAATCTGTTATTGTACTAGAGACTGCGACATATATGTTGATTTCATGGACATGCATGTGTTTTTTATCGACCAGACTTTAAGCAATCATTACCACAAGGTACCTGTTTGGAATATTGCTTATCTTTTTAAAAAATATCACTTTAATGATGGATTTTTAGACAATTAAGAAATATTTTATTTTTTCGGCAAATATAATCTCGTACTTCTTAACATGAAATGTATCGATTGCGTTGATATTTTTGAGCATGTTAATAAAATGTATGTGCTACCAACTCTTGAAAGCGAGATGTTTGATATGTTTTAGTCACATAATTAAGTATGTTTTACTATATGTATATACGATTTGTCAAATATCTGTATCCTCCAACACATCGGCCATATTAATATACACTATTGATGCATTATTTTGGTGAAAGCTATGCCACAAGGAACATTTTGATGACATATCTTCGATTGCAGACAATGGAGATATATGATTGAGTGTAGGTATTTCTGTCGTGAATTCAAGTTGTCTAGACGAGGCTGTCCAATATTTTGTATCCTCCAAACATTAAAATATCATCTATGGGAGAAAAAAACTTCAAATTATTATTTTGAGAAATGAAAGTACTTAATAAAAGTGTTTAGATCATCATTTTGATTTTTGAATTATTTGAATTGTCTTTGTAAAACTTAATTAAGGAGGATACAAAATGACTTTAAAATTATGTGAAACATAAACGTACAATCAAAAAAGTTAGTTGTATTCATATTTTTACGTTTATATTTAAATTACAGCAAAGAATGAGTCATTGCCAAACCAAGAAACAATATATTTCAATCTCAGTTTCACATGTGATCATGTTAT